TCATCACTCAAGGTTGCGCAGCCACGAAGAGAGAAAAGGACCGAAAAACTTGCTGCTTGTTCGTTCCCGGAAGATCTCGTTATCTCCAGTTCCCCAGTGCCCAGATTCCCACACTCCCCCGGCCTTCCAACCCTGGTCTAGCCACTTCCTGACAATTCCACGCCCTGTGAACCCTGCCTCCCTAGTCAAACCGCGTCCCTGTTGGCTGCGTTGCCGTTCAGAATCTGGGCCAATCCGCCAAGATGGGCACTTAACCGCGTGAAGGGCTCCTCCGCACCAAAAGGATGGCGAACTCCATCCCCCCATGCCCCCCCCCCCCGGCTGAGTGCTGATAAGCCCGACAGGTCGTACGCATTGGTTTGCGGTGCAGATAACGTGTCGAACGTAGCCTCGGCACTACTTTCGGTGTCCTGGAATGTCGCACTGAAGTTGTTAAAAAGGCCCTCCTCCCCTTGGACGCGTAATTGACAAGGGTCTAGTCTCGTGGTTCTCGTCTGTGTCGCGCAGCTCCCCTCTCCTCGAGTTCCTCACTGTCGACCCTTTTTCCGCAACCACAGGGCACGTTCAAGTGTGCAACCCACGGTACTATTGGTAGATTCTCGAAGAATTCATTCCATTCTTTCAAGAAGCTTCCTCTTCGTCCGTTGGCGCGCCCCCAAAGTCTCGTCAGTCATGGCTTCTCAAGTGACCGAGGTTGGCCAGACCAACACCAGCGGCAGCACGCCACCCCGCCGCAACTCGGACCCGGCGCTGGAGATCAACAACCAACACCATCACCAACATCTGCACCATAGCGACCGCGTAGATGCCAAGGGTCACGACGACAACGTTACTTACGCACGAACCGGTGACTCTACAGTCCCGCACCAGAGCCATCTCCATGACATCGAGAAGGGCGACAAGCTCAGTGGCCCCCCCGATTACGATGGTGAAAAGACTGGCGTTGTTTCCAACGAGGACGGGGAGAAGAAGCCCTCCAAGATTGGAACTCTCTACCGCCGTCACAAGTGGGCTGCCCACGCATTCCTCTTCTGCCTTTTCACCGGCTGGTGGATTGCTTCGCTCGTCCTGCACCGCAACGACAAGAACTGGGTCGTTCCGTTCCTCGTCTGGCTCGGCATCTCTCTTCGCATCCTCTTCTTTTACGTTCCGAGCTCCTACGTCTCCCGGCCGATCAAGTTTGCATGGCAGCACAGCGCCGTGCTCATATATAACTTAATCCCCGCCAAGTTCCGTACCTTTGCTGGTGCTGCATTGACGCTTGCCGTAATTCTCGTCGGCTCATTCGTCTCGGAAGAATCGGCCGATAACACTCGCGAGAACCGTGCGGTTTCCATCTTTGGTCTCATCGTCATCCTGTTTGCGTTCTGGGCGACATCCAACAACCGCAAGCGTGTCAACTGGCGTCCTGTTATCGGTGGCATGTTGTCACAGTACATCATCGCACTATTCGTCCTCCGTACTGGTGTTGGTTACGACATCTTCAAGTTCATTGCGGATCGTGCGGGCGACTTGCTCGGTTTCGCCAACCAGGGAACCGCTTTTCTGACTGCCGAGAGCGTGATTGACCTTCACTGGTTCATTAGCGGAGTGATTCCCCCCATCATCTTCTTCGTGGCGATTGTCCAAGTCCTGTACTACATTGGCTTCCTCCAGTGGTTCATTGGGAAGCTCGCGACCTTTGTGTTCTGGGCGCTCGAGGTGTCTGGTGCCGAGGCTGTCGTTGCCGCTGCTACCCCCTTTATTGGCCAGGGCGAGTCTGCCATGCTGGTCCGTCCCTTCGTCCCCCACATGACGAAGGCCGAAATCCACCAGATCATGACCTGCGGTTTCGCAACCATTTCTGGATCCACTCTCGTTGCATACATCAACCTAGGTCTCAACGCTCAGGCAATGGTATCGTCGTGCGTCATGTCGATTCCGGCCTCGATCGCCATCTCCAAGCTACGCTACCCCGAGAAGGAAGAAACTTTGACCGCTGGGAAGGTTGTCATCCCTGACGATGACGAGCACGAGGCGAAGAACGCTATGCACGCTTTCGCCAATGGTGCGTGGTTGGGTATCAAGATCGCTGGAACCATCGTTGCCTCGATTCTTTGCATCCTGGCTTTTATCGGTCTCGTTGATGGTCTCTTGACCTGGTGGGGAAGTTACCTAAACATCAATGACCCTGACCTGACTCTCAACCTCATCACTGGGTACCTCTTCTACCCGATTGCCTTCCTTCTGGGTGTTCCCCGTAATGGAGACTTGCTCAAAGTCGCCCGTTTGATCGCCATGAAGGTCATCGCTGTAAGTTCAAACCTCAATTTGCCTGCATGTATATCTTGTTGTTCCCTTTCAGATACTGAATCTTAGCAGAACGAATATGTTGCCTTCTCTGCGATGAAGACGCCTGAGTACCTTGATCTTTCTCCTCGTTCTCAGCTCATTGCCACCTATGCCCTCTGCGGATTTGGCAATATCGGCTCCCTGGGTATCCAAATTGGTATTCTGGGTCAGCTAGCTCCGAGCCGTGGAGGTGATGTCAGTGCCATGGCTATCTCTGCTTTGATCTCTGGTGTCATGTCGACTTTGACCTCAGCCGCCGTTGCCGGTCTTGTTATTACTTCTCAGGCGACTAACCTGGCCGTTGGAGCTTGATCGAGAGACGCGTGATGAGACGAAATGATTCTTCTGTGGAGTTGAACGAAAAAAATATGACTAGAAAAGAAAAAGAAGACCCTGTACGATTTCGACAAGCGTATACTGGTCGCTCGAAGAAGGAGCAAAATACACGTCCCTAGTAGTAGTAGATAATAATATCCTTTCAGCAAGTAAGCTAAGCAGCTCGATCGCGGTACCAATTTCCGAACGTCTTACTGGGGCGGGATGGCGAGGTATCGGAACCGTCTTCTGAGTTCGACAGAGTCACGACGTGGTCACAGATTCATTTTGCGTGATCACCTTGGTACTTGAGTAAGACTCTTATCTTAACTAAAAATTGCCCCGGGCTACCCCCGTCTAAATCCGACATGTTTGCCCGCCAGTTACGCCTAGGGAGCCCCGGTCGCGTAGAGCATGGCCCTAATATTGAAACGAATGGGCAAGTGAACAACTATCTGATAAGCAAGAGAACCAAAAGTCCGCCGGTCTCCTGCGGGAGTTGGCGCCGGCCGCAGCCACATTCTCAGCTACCGACGGTGAACAAACTTGTTGGCCTCAGGGTTGTAGTCCCATAATCAGGGACCAAGACCCGCAAAGAAATTATTAGAGTAGGGGAGGGTAAAAAAGCGCTGGTCCAATAAAGTAAGTGCCTTTGGCATTTGGAATTCGGTGATCGAAACCTGTTGCACAAACATTGTTAGTGACTTAGGAAGACTTGAACTACTGCAAATCATTGGGAGTTGGTCCTAATGCACCTGAATCCGGTGATGCAAGCAGTGAAGCCGATGTCAACACGCCATTCCGCTGGGTCTATTGCCTAACCACTACGGGCTATGTCCATCTCCCCCGCCCCCCGCCCTGTCTTGGCCATACCTATTCCTGCGACATTATCCTAAACACGGAAGAAAACCGCTGCGCCAGACCAAGGACAACGGCGAGGAAGTCATTTCATAGCAATCAAACAACAGTGGTTTCAAAATCGGCAGCATGATGATGGGTGTTATCTTTGAAAGAAGTAGTCGAATGTCTCGATCACCCTAGAGCATACCGATTGAGATGTAACTTCTAATTATGTTCAGTATACCGCTCAGCGATGAGATCGCGAGGGCTTCAATGCGCACATAGACGAATCCCACGACGAATTTTGATTTGGTACCGCTAAGACTTCTCAGTAAAGTCCGCAACTTCAATGTACAAAGTGATGTCTGGAAATATCAATAGTATGGACGGTGGAGATTGAACACAACTTCACCGCATACCTACACATAACACAGTTCCGCATTATTGTATATTCTTATTAAACTTGCTACATGATAGCCTTTGTTTCTTTACCATGGACACAGAAAAACGAAAGTAACAGCTCGCCTTTCAAAATGGCCCGACCTTTGTAGCTGCTTCCAAACTCGACCCTCTCTACGCAATTGTGCGAGCGTCCTACTACTAAAAAGTGACTGTTGGTACTACAGGTGGGGTGATCTAGATCGTACCCTCTCGGGTGGATGAAACAGCAAACTCTTGATTGATGATATCTACAACTGCCCGAAGAAGGGGAAGAGGGAAGAAGGGTGGAATCCATATATATAGATTGACAACAGTGCCGAATGCCGGGACATTGCTCATCCGAAACGCCTAGAATACCGAGGGCATAACCCACTTATCTGTGTCAGGAGGCGGGTGGGGGCTCTACATAGCGTAGATGTCAAGAAATCATCGGCATGCACTCGACAAGAGAAACGCTTGAGCCTTCTCTTCGGCATTGATTTGAATTTGATACTGGCGTGGTCCGGAAACGCCTTCATGAGAAACGAAGCAATCTCCTCTGGTTGAAAGTAGCAGTAACGGTATCGGTAGCGCATCGAACAAGAGCTTGGAGCAATGCATTTCTCCTTTTAAACCCTGGTGACTTTGAGGCAATTCTACCCTCTTCAGAAAGATCCGAAGATTGCGTATACCAATACGCAGTAGTTGGTTGTCTCCGGTCCCCCACTTTGCCTGTGAAGTCGCCAATTCTTGGGACCCGTCGCGTCAGGTTCCTGTCCCGTGCTTCATCTCATGTCATGCTGTCTGACTCTTGCAGATAAGTCCCGCAATATACTGCGACACATCAATCTTATCCAATCATATTGTCATATAGTGGTTTCTTGCCTGAAGTTCCTGAATCTGCAAGGACCAACCTCAAACGCGCTCGTCTGAACTTGCACTGACCGGCATGCCGGTATGTAACATCATTGTGTAGATCATCACTGCCCCACGTGGCCCTGAGTTCTTTTGTATTTTATGACGGCAAATACAAAAGGAGACCAGGTCGTCGTGGACTTGGGATGTAATATGATCCAAAGCATCCCATCGTCTCTCATTACATCGCTAGCCGATATCAATTCCCACCCAAGTTCTGTGAACTTTTGCTTTTGGCTTCTTAATATCTTATTCCATTCTTTCCTTCAGTCCCGACATACTCGAGTCCATTATTACCCATTCTTTTTAACAAGATGCATTCTAAGACCCTTCTTTTGGCATTGCTTGGCGCCATGAGTGTCTCGGCTGCCTCTATCAAACGACAGAACAACGGCGCCGATTTTGGCAAATGCACTCCGACTATGGACTTTCAACTTGGCCGTCCTGGGCGCAAGGCTACTCAGGGCACGTTTCTGCCCACCGATCCCCTTGTCAAGGGGGGCCAGCAGGATGCACTAAACCCGAATATCATTACGAATGCGATTTGCAATCAGCTCACCAACGTTTGTGATGCGAACCAAGCCGCAAAAACCAAATGTCAGGATGCTAAGGCCAAGGTCGAGGCGGCGGGTGTCAAGGATGCGTCGGCTGCGACGATCTTCAACAGCGCCCTGGGCTTGTAACCAATGGCGCTAAGCTTTCTGTTTCACGCTTCGCGACCCATGGGTGTCGGTTGAACACCATGCACTCCTGAATGGAACAAAGCGATGGTCTTTCCTAGTTGGCCTCGTCAGTAACTGGGTTTGAGTGCTTCTTTAGTTTAGCGACAAAGTGTGCATACATAGAGGCGAGGAGGAGGCTGCCGATGGCAAGTTAGCGATTTACAGACACCACAGCGCTTCTACCCAATCTCATAACTGGCACTATACTATTCTTGTTGTGACACCATGTTAACGTGGCTCAAGTGTGATCGTTATGTAGCTTTGTTTTGAGTTTATAGAAGCAGTTAGGAAATTCTGTCGCCGTATTGTCCTCCCGAGGGTTTTAATCTCCCCTTTTGTAATTGTGATTGCAGCCTTATAGATGCAAGAGCCCAGATGAATCGAAGTATTAGCCATTGTATGGAATCTGGCGTGATACTATATAAGACACAAGTGTCACACTGAAATCGTAGATCTACGTTTTGCCTGTTATATTACGAAGTACGCCTCCTTAGGGGGTAATTCATGGAGTTACTAGTGGCTTGTTATTTCTATATGCTGTTGTATTAAAGGTCGTTCCTAAATATTGCCTCGTTTCTAGGCCCATGAAACGATGTGGGTATTCTGGAGCGGGGTCGATCTGGAAGGCGGTGTCGTGGGGCAATATCAAGCAGGGTGATTATAGTACTGCATTGGACAACATAGAAAAGGCTTTATCCTTGTCTGCCGAGGAGCCTGACTCTAACCCGAAGAAACAGAAACTCTATACAAGAATGGCTAAGTGCCATCTGCTTTCCCTTTCCCTTGATGATGCTGAGAAGTCGATGGCTTCCCTTCCCGACGATAGCTCTGCACAGGCGATGCGAGCGACGTTGAAGGATATGCATAAGATCTCAAGCATGTCCAGCGAGGGCGAACTACTACAATAGGTTCTGGACCGCCTGTCTCGATACAAGGGTCAACTGTAAGTTTCTCAAACGTTGATATTCGAGACATCGGCTGACTTCTGACAAGACAAGACTCTCCCGAGTACTATGCTGTGGGCCACGATACGGCATACCCTCTATGGGATGAGCCATTGTGGCATGCTGGGAGACCTCGCGGGGACGTGTCTTTCCTCCTTTGTGGCAGCGGTGATGCTCGGCATTTGTTTCTCACAATGGTTTTCCTGGGTCTCAGTGGCCCGAGCCAAGGAGAAAACAGGCTGTCCAACAAAGCCCATTTCACCATCTTAGACATCAACGCTACTGCATCAGCAAGAACCCTTGTCATCTTTGACATGGCCATCCGATACGTTTTCATGCGGTGCGCGAAAATGCCACGCATCGAGGATGAACTTACCGTCATGAGCTATATCTATTCCTCTGCAGCCGTCCCTGCGTTTGTTGCAGAGAAGCTAGAGGAACATATTGAGTCGGTGATTGCTGAGCTTGAGGGAGACGGGGATGCCCTCGAGATGTTCTTCATTCCCAAAGACACCCGAAATAAGATAATCAAGAAGCTAAAGCACTAGATTCAGCCCCTTGCAGACGACTATGCTCCCAAAAAGGTCCGGCCAGCTGCGCTAAACAACTTTTTGCGGATAGATCAGCATCGAAAAACACTTTTTGGCAAGACAGCGGTCAAAAACAGTACCAAAGAATTCCGTGGGCTCGGAGTTCTCTCCTCAGGAGATATCTTTATCGGACGAAGAGAGCCAGCACTACGACCCTTGCTTGATGCTTTTCGATCCCGTGCCCAAGGTGCCAAGCATATCCTGGAAGGCTATATCGACTCTCATTGGAAGACGAATCGTACCCTTCTGGATATGGACTATGAGACCCGCCGCTATGATGAGCTCGAGACCGGAGTCCCTCCCAGGAAATCCATTTCATCGATTGAGTTGGACCCCGCACAGCTCGTGCAGAGTGTCTACAACCCTGCAAGGCTTGAACCGGAGGATGGACACGTGCTGGAAAGTCTCGAAGGATTCTTCGAGACTCTTGCTACCGCGACGATGACACTCCTGCGGCGTGTACAAATCGAGGCAATCGCTGGAGAAATGGCCGATATACTGGAGCGAATACGGTACGACGGCTTAGGGTATTGCTCTCAGAAGCCCCTAAAGGTTGGAGCTATCGATGCAACTCATTTTCCGCGGCAATATAACAGGATTCACATGAGAAATATCCCGTAAGTTGACTATAGGACTGTACTGCAGTACTAAGGCGTCCCAACTAAAGACTTTGTGGATCTAGGGACTACGTCGGTGGACCTTTGGCCGCCCTCCTGTATGGTGGCCCTCTTCTTCGTGAGGATAGACCGTCAAATCTGAGATTCAATAACCTGCTTAATCCACCCATGCTCGAAAGACACGATCAGTTTCTGACAGAGTATATACTCGTGTACGACGCCAAGCAGGTGGCCGATCACTTCGGGCTGGTGAAAGAGCAAGAAACTGGCGAGGCCATCTTAAATCCCATTGCGAAGATGATCGGCAATCAGTTCATGACCGAAAACCACTTCATTCGGGCTCGATCTGGCGCCATGGAAACGCAAAGGTCCCGTCTCACGACACGACCTGCTCTGGAAAAATGGCAGCACTCTTACTTGCTCAAGATCTGCGTTCCTTATCGTCGCCCTCTGTGGAGTGATAGCCCAGTTCATCCTCCGCTAAATTCGACTGCATTTTTAAGGATTGTGCTCCGTCTGCATGAGGTTGGATATCCAGCGCACTGGCTGGCAGACGTGCTTGCAAGTATCTGCGAGGGCAGCATCACGACGACTGCACGTTCTGCCCGGAAGTTGGTACCTCATCCGAATGACCTTAAAACGTCTTACCCGCACCGCAAAATCAGCTTGGGTCCATGGAAAGCCGAGTTAACCACATTGTTCAGCCTCTGGCGCCGCCTCTTGCCCTTCGGTACCGTCACTCCTCTAAGCGCATTGGCATATCCGGTTGAAGTCCTAGAATGCGGCATTTCATTTCCTAACTTCGTTGAGAAGTTCACCAGAGCTCCTTATGTCAATGTTGTGTTCACCAACATGACCATGGTCGGCTCAAGAAAGCTTGATCTCCCAGACCACCTCCAAGACGATGAAGAGGGGGATGAATCTGATTATGCCAAACGTTTGCGAGAAGAGAGCGTGCATATTATCACAGCTTTCAAGTATGTGACAGACACAAGGATGGCTACGTGTTGGCTGCGTAAAGAGGTTGTCGAAGGAATGATGCACAAGGATTCGTAGGACGCATGCATAGGTCGTACCGATTCATGGGAGGTTATTACTGCGACTGTAACGCCGGTATCGCGATCCCTGGGATTTTTAGGGAATTGGGCGACTCAGAAATGATTGGCTGCCGGATGAGGTTATTATGTTGTTTATTTTTCGGCATCATATCAGGCGAACGCCCGATGTACGCCGCTCTCAACGGTTTGAAATGGTTTCTGGCTAGAGACAAACAGAATCAATTTCGATACTTATGGTCTCGTGTAGAATCTAGGACAAATTTGTGTACTTTCTACCTGTCAGAAAATGTTCAGTTTCGAGGATGACTTCATTGCCAAGAAAATCCAATACATGGCTGACGGTCCGGCTTCAGTTTGGAATCGCGGCCCTCGCTTATACTCGTATCCAAGGGCGACAGGGCGACTCTCGAAACATGACGCAGATGGTGGGGCAGCAACAAGCCTGGCATGAGCTCATTGGCGGCTGAGATTATGGCCCTGGTATGTAAGCTTAAACAGAACAATATTGTGTTTGTCGTATTACCTTATACCATGTTCGTCTCCAGGCATGTTCACATAAGCAACGCAAGAAATTACCTGTATACAACGAAAATCAGAACATTCAAACATTATAGTGAGCATGCCCTGGTTAATCGCAAAATCTGCTCCCTGCTGATCATCCTAGAGTGGTTCGTGGTTGGCCCCAACACCTTACACAGATATCTGCACACCTACTCTAAGACCCATTGAATGACCCAGGCAAAGGAAACTGTGGAGGATCGACCAGGCGAAGAGCCTGACATCAACCAACTAGCCTAACTCTCGGGCAACACGGCGAACTAAACTTGGCATTTCTGGAAGCACTAGTAAAGATCAATCTATCTTCACGCAGATCAGATCAGCAAGAGTGGCATGGCGGCGGGCCGATGAGATGTTGGATGCGTCGGTTCCCCGCAAGCAGATTGAAACGTGTGGTTATGACTTGCTATAATTAATTGGTCCTGGCATTTAGCGCTCGTATTAATCCTAGGGCTGCGTCATGCGCTTATAGTTCATGTCCACTGCCCCAGAAAACAGAGTGCACGCGACCTTAAATACGAGAAATAGCACAGAGATCATTGGAGGATTATTGCAAACGTCTCGCTGACTATCCATTCCTGTACTTTGCATTTCGCCTACAAAAATAAAACCTGACAAGCCGAGGGTCAGGAGTCATATGCTCTCAGGTTAAGGGAGGAAAACTGCTGCTCGAGAGGTGTAATGACATAACAATTGCGAAATAGCAGCAAGCAATCTAGGGACCGGAGAAACTATACCATAAGTTTGGCAATGAATGTATATACGTACCTCCTAATCTCATGTCCAGGTAGACTTCCATCAATTAACTGTTGTAATTGTAGGCATGGTGGGGCGCCGGAACGAGGGGAGGGATGTGCAGAGCGATGGGCAGTGGCAAAGGGAACGTTCGTGGATCATCGACAAGGCAACTCGCGATACGATGGTAACGTTACCCCATTGACAATTCGATGACTATGGACTTCCTGACACCCAGTCATATTTTTCTACCTAATATTAGTCTCTGTGGTCAAGTGATGTTTAGCAATAGTCCTATGACTACTTAAGTCATACATTCCCCTTAAGGGTTCTGGATGCCAGTCCTTCATACCTTCACACTCTATAAACGATTCCGTAAACACTATTATCAACATTACCAAAGTTGTTAGTTCTCGTCACTATTGACCACATACTTCAAGATGCAAATCACCAACATTTTCCTACCTGTCCTGGCTGCCGCGACCGCCGTCTCTGGCTCTCCTGTTGCCAAGCGGGAGGTCAAATCTATGATGGCTTCCGGTGTCCCCGAGTGGACGATTGAGACTTTCATCCGCACATGCAATTCAAAGAATACCGCTTGCGACTACAGCTTCACCATCAACACTCACATGACGGGGCCAACTGCTTGCAAGTTCACCACCACTGGTTCTCCTGCCAGCCGCGCCCCCTCCAACGCCAAGTGTGGAGCCTACACTGTCACCTCCGGCTGGAGCGGCCAATTCGGTGACGATGCTGGCTTCACCACATTCTCAGTCACTGACCAGAAGCTGATTGTCTGGCCCGCCTATACCGACAAGCAGCTCATTAATGGCCAAGTTGTCAGCCCCGACCAGAGCTATGCCCCACAGAATCTCCCTTAAAGGAAGAAAAGGATTCCTCGAAAGGAGGGTTAATCAGTCCTACGAAAGGAGTTATGATAACGATTCAGAAATACTAGGTATAATTTCACAATTTATAAATCTCAAATGCGGATGCAGCTCAAGCCGAGTTAATTTATCAAGACTTATGTTGGTAATGTCTTTCAATTTTGGGCATACATGTACAATGATCATTGCTCAAGGTTAACGTGGTGTTCGAACATGTGCTTCCCTTTCATTGATTCCTGTCTGAAGTTGATAGAGTTTTCCAGCAGTGAACCTTGACTGCTTATAGTATTTATGAAGAAGAGAACCAAGCCTTTGCCAGGCCACTAAAACATGGAACCCGTGTATACAGCAAAGGTCAGTTCGCGACTTGAATCAAATTTCTGTTTCTGCGGGCTGTACATTACAGTCCATTTTAGTACCGTACCATCAGGGAATGTCTGCTATACTTGAGCAACATTCATCTATTCACTCACGGCGAAAAGAATTAGAATACTCCAAGTAATATATGTCCTATTAAAGCAGGATACACTGCATAACTGGATATATCGGGAAGGCAGGAATAGCTTCGTGTAGTCATGAGCAGATGTGGCTGCGACAGATGTGGAGTAGTATACATGTCCCATGTATGACCGCTTTATACAGTGGGTAGCTTAGGGTTACAACATAATAGGAGATCATCAAGGTAGCGATGCAAAGGCTATCATCTGTACCTTGTATGACTTGGACATCATATAAGTGAGCTGTGATTCTGACGGGAAATAGCTGACAGCCAGTACCAATATCGGAGCCATGCCCCCAAGTTCAGTCTGAGCAGTTACGAGTCGTCGCCAGTCACTGAAACTTCCCTAAAGATATCACAACATCCTGCCTTGCTATACATTGTAGATACTGTTGCAGAATTATATGAAACCAAGTTTGTCGATCTACATCGGTAGACTTCTACTTTTTGCCCCCATACATATGCGTTGCGATCAGATGTGAAATTCCATAATTTGACTCCTATGCTTCAGCTAAATCCATCTTAACACTCGCTCAATTGACTTTCTTCCCCGCTGTTGGGGATGCACCTTGAAACGTGAGCCACTTCATGGCACCTGGGAATTTACCTTCTATAGGAAACACTCGGATGCAGAGATTGTTTTCTGCTTAATAAAGACCAACAAGAATGTCACCACGGACACGCGCAGTTAAATGAACTTCGGCTTCAAGGTCCAACTTGATGCCGACCATGAGAGCCGCGCTCGTCAACTTGCCATTTTCGTCAACTGGGCCCTTGAGAAGGTTGCCTGATAGCACACGTCAGCAACAAGCGAATGATACGGTTGAAGGGAGGTAGATTTACCGACTGGGCCGTTCGCATTGCCGGAGAGGTTCGGCATCGGAACGGGAAGGCCAGAAGTTTGCATGTTTCCCCTCGATCCAGTGTTGGCTGGTGGGTATGAAGTAGGGTAAGCCGGGGCACGAGACTGCTCCTCGGTTGTCGTTGCTGCTTTCGCGCTATAAGGTTATGCGCGTTAGCCGGTTGATGGGTAAGATTCAACTTGGGGAGTCGTACTTGGAAGACATGGTGGTAAGATATTTGAAGACTTGATCTTGCAAAGAATGCTGTAATTCTTCGGGCGAACTTGCTTCGTCAACCGGCTCAGAATTGATAAGTCCTCGTTCTTTCAAAAACTGTTCCGAGAGAGACTCGGGTGATTGACTTTGGGCCGGGGGTTTATCGAGATTTGGTGTGGGTCGATTTTCACCGATTGATGAGAGAGAACCTCGGTTTGAGCTGCGGCGTTTATGATTAAGAGTGTTAGGTTCTTGCGGTTGTTGGTGAGGCAGGGATTGCGCGCGAGAACGATTGGCAGGCGGAAAGTTGTCTGTTGCGACTCGGATAGGGATCTTGAAAGAAAGAGATCTTCTGAGGACTCCTGGCGCAGCAGAGGATTCGTCGGTAGGTGTGGAATGAGCTGGAGAATCTGCTGGTTTTGGTGCAACAGAGACACGCTTTGACGAGGTATTACTTGAAGATCGAGGGACGTGATCCGATTTCTTGGGGATCAGTGGTGGCTGCGGCTGCTGAGACTCGGTCTTTGGCGATATGGTGGCGATGGGGGAACCTGCTCCCACTGATTCGTTCCGTTCAGGTGTCTCGGTGCTCTGTGCTTTTTCAGATTGAGATGCGGTCTGGTTTGCCATCTTGGAGGGGGGAACATGGTGAGCTTTAAGCTTCCTTTCCGAACGCTGCCGACAGAGCCCGGTATAATTATTTGATGCTAACACCCTCCTCCGTCCATGCAATTTGTTACAGAGCGGTGATTACTCCGAGGGACAAACTGACATCGTCCGATGTTGAAACTAGCCGCTCGGATTGTACATTGCGTTGTGTTTTGTCAATTCGGACCAGAGCGTGTCGGCCAGTGAGATCAGTTCATGCGATGCACCGCACATGTTTCCACAACATTTGATAAGTGGCCTGGCATGGTACGATTCGGGCGAGTCGATAGAACGTTTGTGGGGTGTATCGGGGCTCTTGCGCGTCTCAGGGTGTTTTCAGAGGAGCATCGGCAAGGGTCCTGCACCCACTAAAACCATGTCACGACCCATGTACCGGAGAGTTTCAACAACATCAGATCAGGAACCGGCATGGGAATTGCATCGTGCATCTTTGGACGAAACCATGGCATGCCAACTGTTCGAGGCCTGCCAGCAAGGTTCACAAACATCAGTCGATGGCTGTCAATCTTTATGAGTTTCCAGGGTCTCGAGGCCTGAAACCATCCACGCAATGAAGTTGGCTTGGAACCAAAGGTGCACGTACTTCTGAGACCGCCGCCACTACAGTTATCTTTCCTTTTCCCCCCTTGATTGTCTGTTGTTTTGATTACTAAGACCTCTCACAGACCATACTATAGAGCAAGAAGAGACATGCAGTCTGGTGTTGGTCGTCACTTTTGGGTTGTCAACTTCTCCACTTGCTGGCCGCATTGATTCAAGCAAGTTTGGGGATACAGATCTCTTACTTGTGCCTCGTACGTTTGAGTTGTGCCATTCCTTGTCGCCATTTGGAAGTGGAAATGGCCCTTTCTCTCCTGATCAGTTTCGGTACCGCCGTAGGGGCTTCCGAAGGCATCAAAGCTTCCATGGCAAGGTCGCGTCGAGAAGAGCATCGGAGCCGAAAGAACAATCTCGTCGTTCACTGCCCCAAATCCTCTCAATTCAGCCCTTATCTCGAAGGTCGTCAAGTAGTGTTATCAGGTTATAGAGTAAGCTATAAATCGATGTGTACACCTCTAGGATGGGTAGTAAATCTAACGGCATTAATGCTTCAGTTGTTTGTAGACACTGGCACCGCCCACGATGTCCCATTCGGCCATCCTTTTGAGGGATACTACCTCCCTTATCCGGAGTCTCGGTTCTCGGGCTTGGTCAGCACAATCACGCACGAAGCGCCAATCATGAACTGGATATTCGTAGATCCGGTTAGCTATCAACTCCGCTTTGGGAATCGGGCGGCAGCAGATGGAAATCTGACTGGGCCGTGGGAATGCACTCGTCAAGACCGCCGAGTCACATTGTGTGGATGGGAAGGCTTCTGTGCAGTTCTGGAAGAAGGCGGTATTTGGGGTTTGTATTTCGACTGCGATGGAGATGGCTTAAAAAGAAAGTTTGACGGTGATGGACGTATAGTGATTGAGATTGAGCTGTTGCGAAGAGAGATGAGGACGAGAAAGCCGGAGTTGATGCTTGCTGAATCAGACTCACAACAGAAGAGGCAGTCGGACCAAGGGGGAGGGGCCAAAGACACAAACTCCCAAAGTCAAGATGGAGAAAGAAATATCGAGGTTGAAGGAAAGAGGAACAATGTATGATATGGAGCTATTGAACTACGGACAAGGATCGCCTGTTATTTGGTATAAGGCGACGGAAAGGGGGTAAACATCGAGAACAGTACTTCCATCAATTCTGGGTAGATAGCAAGTAATGCTATAAGCCTGTCATCCGGAGATTCCGGCCTAAGCTGAACAACACATGTGCCGCCAGATGTAGATCTTGCTAATCAAGTTTATCACATCGTTTAAGAGCATGGCTAGGTCATGGAGAGATTGAAACACAATCCCAGAAATCTTGAGCCGCCGCTTCATGGAAACATCTCTCGGATGAACCGAACTATCGGGATCAAGATGTCAAAGCAAGGGGGCCAGCCGGCCCGTTTCCAGGGTCCCGGAGACGGAGGCCAGGTCTCCGTGGCAGTTACGTGTAGCATAAAACCTCAGGGCGACTGAGTTGGCAAACCTGATTTAGCCCCAGTTGTATTTCAAGTTGTTACTCATTCCGCAGGGGTTGCTGGTCAATCTTCCCGCTCTGCAAGGTCCCCATACCTATTTGAAGCTATTTCTCCGCCTTGACCAAATTTGTTTGCATGTGTCTCATTGCGGTTTGTTTGTAAAACCGTGTCACTACTTGTACATTTGCTCCTTCAGTCAGTTTCATGCCATCTTCAAGGACGTGTAGGAAACATCACGATTTGACTGTGGGTATTGTTTCCCCTTTACTTTGTATCATGGCCACACAACTCATTAACTATTGTGTCTTCGTTTCTTTTGCGGAAAACAACTGCAGGCACTGCTTTGTGAGTGGAACACGATACTAAAACATTACAGTGAGTGATGCCTTAGAAGTCACACGTTATATTGGATGTATGATAATTCGAATAACTGACATCAACATTAAGCATCTAGAACATGGTAAGAATTGCCGGTTTGTTTACTAAGTAGGCAGCGCTTGGTAGACGACACGTCAAGAGCAAGGATTCCAATAAGTGATATCTGTTTAACGATAATAACAGTTTTTCTACCTGTTGTGCATATACCCAATGTGCATGATATAGATTCGGAAATAGAGTCTAGATCAATTTTTACTAAACGCAACTAAAAACGCTTTCAATCGTTTTCTTATCGTCTCCGCGAGAGAGACAGAGAGAAAGCAGAATCCTGGCTTTTTGAGGATTGAGATCGTTCCCTGCAATGATACCAAGCTCTCTATGGCATTGGCTGTCCACAACCTTTCCCGCTCCAAGTCGCGAAGACTGTACCACAACCACGCCCTCAAGAATAGCCTCTTCTAATGCACGAGTTTCTTGCCTGGTTCCCAGACCGGGTCCAAATCCGGCAGAAACGAGACCCCTTGCACCGGCTGCGACAAATGCCTTGATAGCGGTTCCATCCGCGCTGACGTAGCTGTACACGATGTCGACGCGCGGGAGGCCGCCAACTAGCATTCTGCGATGGAACTGGCTGCTGGCTGGACTTGCCTGCCTCGAGACCATGTTGACCTCCTCGCCATCAACGTAACCAACGGGACCCAACCAAGGTGAATTGAAGGTGCCAAGTCGAAGGGTGTGAGTTTTGGTAACATAGCGGGGGGAATGAATTTCGTCGTTGGCCACAACTAACACTCCAGCAGGTTCGTTCGGAAGGACCGGGTGAGCGGCCACACGAAAAGCGGCAGTGAGATTGGCCGTCGCATCTGAAGAAATACCAGTCAAAGGGCGCACGGACCCAGTGATAACGATCCGCATCTTCAAATTCAGGACTAGGGACAGGATCCACGCGGTCTCCTCTAGGCTTGCTGTTCCGTGCCCAATCACGATACCGCGAATCTCGGGATCATCAGCCAGAACGCAGCATATGTCAGCCAGTAAATGCCAGTGATTGGTGCTGATCTCGGTGCTGTCGATAGGCCCAATGTTTATGACCTCGACGTCGGCGAGGGCACGGATGCCAGTCTCATCAATGATATATTGAGCATCGTGGCGTTTACGACGTCCTCCTTCCGCGTTGTAGTCGAGGAGGTCGTACTTGTCGTTGCCTTCAGATGAAATAGTGCCTCCTGTTCCAATGAAAGCAACCTTCCCCAGTGGCTTCTGAGGCCTTTGAGGCGGACCGGGTGCGTAGAGTGCTGCTATATATTGGGTTGAGTCCATTGATCGTGATTGCATTACTGTTAAATTTGGTGGGAAAGGGTGCAGGGAGCAATGCCATCAAGAATTGGGTCCAGTTTAAATAAGTTGATGGGTCAGTGATACGGGAAGTGAATGTTTGGAGGGGCTGGACATGTCACGAAGAGAGGGACGGAATAATTATTCACAGATGCTCCGAGTTATTCTAATGGTGCAACCTTCGAGACTGCGTGCCCAAAAATTGCCAATCTGCTATGCGGATAGCCGCAAGCCGGGATGAGGCCGAGTTTATCGCCGAAGGCCCGGTACATCCACTCGTATCCGCCCATCAGGCACAGGAGCAATAGGTACATTAAGATGATGTTGACACGGTGTGAGACCCCGCCAAACAGCTTGACCGAAGAGAATACACCATTTTCCCTCATATCTCCAACCGGAAATTGCCGTCAGGTGAGGAAGAATCCCGATGCCAAACAGCTTTGACTAAACCGAAGTGTCAAACATGATTGTTTGGGAGTAGACAAACTTGCGATAGCGGCAACGCCTGCTCCACTGATCTTATGAGCAAAGGCGGGACACTTTGATCGACATTTGACGCGCAGTTTCTGCCCCAAAGTCCGTCAAGGTCTAGCTGATTTGGACGTTACTGCCACCGCTGCGTTGAAACGGCATGATGCCTGGGATGGCGTAGCTTCAAAGAGAAGACATGAAATTGCACTTCGAACAGGCAGTCAAAAGACAGAATGGAAATAATGCGTCATAACTCGTAGTAGGTACCCGAGCTGTTTCAAGCATTGCTTGTTCGAGGTTCCCTGCTCATGGAAGGGTGCAGCGGCAAATGACCACCAGCTGTGCCGCCTTACCATCCACGCGAACACCCCAGCCGAGACTGTAACGCACCGAGCAACTATCTCGGCATCACGAAACGATCCAGTCCTGTTCACGGCCTTATCCAGCATCGATATCAATCTTCCTTTTCATCCTCGTTATCGTATCGACCCAGGCGACCGAGTGGGCTCACCATGAAGACGTCTTCCCACCTTCCACTGGCAGCCTTGCCGTCCCAATCGCCGCCGCTGTAGAGAGGAAGGCGGAGTTTCCCCGTGCAGTGCTCGTCGATAAAGCGGCAGACCTTTTGCATATCGCCAACGGTGAAGTCGTCCATGAACCACAGCATCGTCCTGGGGACATCGGCGGGGCTACGACGTTGCGGCGCTGGAGCACCGGAAGTTACCACAGAAGCTGCTCGAGAGCTTTTGCGTCTCGATCGAGGTTGCGACGAAGCAGGTGAGGGTTCGACACTGGCAGTGGCGCCCACGGGAGGCTTCTCTTGCGTTTTGGTGGAGATGGGCGATCTCGGTGTCATTTGGAGCGGGATCGAGACGTCATGAGGGACGTGGGATTGTCTTCTCTTCGAAGCAGACGGTTTGGGGGCGAGTGACTTGATGGCGGACGCCGAGTCATACCTGGAGGCTATGGGATTTTATTAGTAGCCGTGCGCTGTCTAGGCACCCGCGTGAACACTTACATCGTCGGCGCTTGTCACTAACAGGTTCGGACTGTTCGGCCATACTCTCTCTCTTGCGCTTCGTTGTCTGCTTAGTAGGCACAGGAGTCCCGACAGACGGTTTCGAGTCTTCAGTGCCAGATACGAGGTCCCCATTGCCGTCTCTTAGGGCCATCGGCCCCAGGAGAGCCGCCTTCGTACTCTCATCATCCACATATCCGCAATAGTCGGTCATGACACCGGGCGCGTCAGTGCGCATCTTGATGGCTGGCTCCCAAGACACATCCTCTCCCTCGGTCGAGTATCCGAGCCACTGAACGAGCACCTGCCATTGACCGCGGACGCGACGGTGTCGCAAGAATCTGAAGGGGTGATACAGCTCTCCGATACCGAGGACGTCTTGACGGGTCTTGCCTCTGAAGCTCGCCCAGTAATCAAAGAGAAGAGCTGGCCGATGTTCCTGGACATCCCACTCTGAGATATCCTCGTGTGCGCCTTTGACGAGGACGGTGAGGGTCACAAGTGCTGTATCGGGATTGAAGGAATGCCCGAGTATCTTTTTGATGGCGTCGTAGGGAAAATCTGCTTTAGGTGGCTGGCGTCAACATCAGATATTGATACAGTGCATCAACTTTTATCAAGCTGTGCTGAAAGTAATTATCGCTTCTCCACGCAACGTGAATGGTGCGAAGAAACTTCATACCTTGCTCGGCAAGCTTCGCCAGACGTTTTACTCGAGGCATGACAGCGGCGACAGAATGAAGATATAACACAGATTGCTGGCTGGATGGTTTGGGTTGTGGAGGAGATCCTGCTGGAAAGTTGTCTCTGAAAGACATCGGCGCGTCTGGGACGCGTTCGCGTCTTTGGCTCGGAGTCCACCCTTAGCTTCCCAGGGGGGGGGGGTTGTTTTTTATTTCTTGTCTAAACCCCCACTCCACTCCCCTTTTCCGTCCGTTTGTTTCTTCCGTCTGTTTTTCTACGTTGCAGCCCCGGTGCCGATGAGAATCTCTTCCTAATCTATCGACGTCTACCTTTTCTGCCGACCTCTGTGAGTGTACAGTTCCCCATATCCGGGCCAGCCGGGTAATGAAAAGACTAAAACAAAATCGGTCTGTTGTCTATCTTCTACCTCAAGGTCGCAAGGAAGGGCTCAAGTGGCCACGGGTGTGGGTGACACTGCAATACTGGCAGTTGCATTGTACCTTTTGCCGGTGTATGTAACTAATCTACGTCGCCTCTATGTTGTCTATAATCTACTCTAATCTAGGTATATTCTACCGTCGTGTCTCGTACCTAATGCTAATCTGATGCCATGAATCCCCATGTCTATGTCTTTTGTCTAATGCCCATTAAACGCCCCATCATGCCCAACGGATCTCCAGAAGCCTGTATCCACTCTCGTCACCACGCCCGACACCCGTGCGCTTCTCTAGTTCCTCAGAATGAACAATCGTGAGCCTTTGTCCGTCTGCCCGTGCGGGATCCTGGGTTGCCAAGAACGCGGCCTCCACGCTGTCGCTGACGCCGTTGAAGCGGCCGTTCCGACGAACAGTTACCATCAGCCAAAAGACACCATTTGTTGCCAGCAAGTGAGCCGCGCAGTCGCGCAACCACACCGCATGCTCAGGAGCGTAGATGACGTCTGTCGCAATGATGATGTCGGCAGGAACATCCAAAGGCGCTTCCAACACAGGCGCAGACCAGTCAAGAGCTGCAGCTTGCACGTGTTTCACCTCGGAAACTGGAAAATTGAGCAAAACGTTGGATCGTAGGTTCTCGAGCACAGCCTGGTGATAATCGGTCGCGACAATGGTCGGACTTGTGGCCCCCAGGTACGGCAGCATACCCCCAAGCACCAGGCTGACAAGTCCGGTACCTGCGCCTAATTCGACAATGCGAGGCGAGGGGCCGAGTCCCGGCTGCGCCAAGCCGAAGCACGCGGGCGAAGCACACATGATCTCCGAGAAGAGGATCGAGGCGCCCCAGCTTTGGAGACCGACGTCGTCGGGGTCCGCAGAGTTTGTGCCCGCCAACCGATCGTTGAGTCGCACTGTGACAGGAACGCTGGCCCGCGACGTGTCGGAACCCGGAAGAACGAGGTCAAAGGCGAATTCGCGCGCATAATCCTGGTTCTGGCCGTTCTGGTCGTCGTCTTTTGGAGCAGCGAAAAAAGACTCGAGCACACAGGAAGCCTGGTCAAGGGCGCGCTGGCATGCCTCGTCGGACTCGAAGCAAGGAAGGGTCTCGGCTCGAGCAATGAAGCCCGTCAACCAGCGCTCCGCGAAGCTACGCTCGAACGCATCAACTTTGAGGGCAGCCAAGTGATGGTCGAGACCGTCGATCTCTTCGTGCTCATCGTCCGTCTCGGATACATAACCCGAGTCAGCTAGGGGCGACTTGTCATGATGAGCGGGCTTCTGTGTTTCGGGTGTGAGCTGGAAGGCAACCGAAACGGGCAACGAGCAGTAAATCATGGATAGGCTGTGCAGGGCAGACGTGACGTCGGCTTCAGAGAGCCGGTCCAAGGTCCGCAAGGGCGGGAGGCTGCTCGATGGCGGCAGCGGATGCGCTGCCGGTCTCATTTGGCCCGTTTCGACTCGACTCGGTTCGGCTCCTCTTGGTCCCCACGGCGGATGATGTGTTGTGCCCGCCCCCAGCGAAACGGCGGCGTGTGGACATGCGATGGGTGGAAGAGGGGCAAACGTTCGGTGTCGGATTACCGGTGAGCGAAAGGGAACAAAGGACCGGAAGGGCGGGTCACGGATTATCAAGGTTTAGCCGGCGTCATGGGGGGGAGGCAAAAAGAAAGGAAAGAAAAAACCCCCAGACCATCTCACAGTCGACATGCACCAAAGGCAGAGGCAACGAAGATAAGGTGTCTACAGAGTATAAACTATTGCTATCTGTGGGCGTGTGCGCGCCACAGTCGGGATCCACTTTCCCAAATGAGGGCATCGTGAAAAATCTTTGGGTGCCCTATCCCTGCTCCGGTCGGCCTTTCGGCTTGGGGGCGAAAGACCTCAATGGGTCTGGCCCATGACGTTTGGTGCATCCAGTCGGAAACCAAGCTTACCCCAGACTTCATCAAGGGTACACCTTCAACCGTAAGGAAGAGAAAAAAAAAAAAACCAAGCAGCCAAATTTCAAACTCCGGGGCTTGTCGTTATTATATTGTGCGTGACCAACTCTGGCTCTCAAGGAATGGAGAGAGCATGGGGAAGCCATTAATCACACTCGTCCATGAGTCAGACCCCCAAACTCCGAAAAATGCTTCACTGGACATCTAAGACAGCAGCACGTGCTCTTGACAACTGTCGAATTAAACACTGCAAAGGACGGCGGCCTGTGCTAATTAGCCCTAGTCATTAATAATTAACAGAGAACTTGTCTGGCCTGTCTCGGTCCCATATGTGCCGAGTCACAGTTGCCCCCCACCACTTACTCTCATCTACCTTATCGATGTCTTCTCTCCACTTGCCGCCCTCATAGCAACCCTTTCATCCAAACTACCTCCCCCAACATAGGCAACAGTTCCAATGCTATTTTCGGATTCCTTAGTAGCTTCCAGTGAAACAGGATTACTAACCGTGCGTACGACACCTGGGGATGCGTCTGTTGGCTCTCATCCTAACTATACACACTTATTTCCTTTCTTTTCTTCGTTTAGGGCTCTTGACTGCTCACACTTGGCACTGTTTAACGTTGTTCTTGTCCAACGGCGAAAAGTATTCCAGACCTATAAAAGTCATGCCAACTGGATAGCTATCAAGAGTACAAGAATCTCACTAAAAACACAAATTGGAGTCGTTTGAACCATTCAATGTTTAAAAGAACACGAAGAAGTCCACTTCAATCATATTATGAGCCTCACAGATAATCATGCACAGAACAGGATTGCTTCAGCGGGTCACCCCATTGCCATAAGAGACCCACCCTCACAATACAATCCCACTTACCTAGTCCCTAGTCTCGACTTCAGCATCTGACTTTGGTAAGTGAATGGCGGGATTGCCGTAGGGGGTGTGACGCAAAAAGTTAGTTCGGCAATCACAATCTTAGGTGTTAATCACAATGACAGTCTTCTGAACCTTGTACAACAGTTAAATGAGATGAATATTTAACCTTGGGTGTCTACAAGAGAAACCAGGCTTGCAGATGAGTCGTGGCCAAAGAGATCTCAGACATCATGAAGAATGACTGATAATTGGAGTATTTGAGTGTTATCAGTTGATGTTCCGAGACTCAGAGGCCTCCCGGAGAATCGGATACTGCACCTCCACAGGTGGCATTCTCTATCATGGAAGCCATTGCTCTTTGCTGCAATGATAATGCAGATAAATGATTTTGTCTTATTGATGAAATGGTGATGGGGTACTGTCAATAAGGCACTTATGCCAACCTTGCCAAGCTCACTAAGAGCTGTCTAAAATCGAATTGGAAGAAGAGAGTTTAACATAGGAGGGGAATGTGGTATTCCCCTCTCTCGACAACTGAGGGGTTGAGGCTTCAAGGCTACACCATCAGATGAGATCAGACTTGATTTTCATCACATGGTGCAGGGGATGGGATGCTACAGTCTCCAAGTAATAATGATAAGTACAGAAGGACCAGTACCAACTCAAAACTGAATGCATTTTCAGCACGATCTTTCCAGCCGTCAAGCTTGTCAACAACGAAGCTTATTTCGCTGAGCATAGCTGCCGCATCCTTGGTGGCCGTAGGTGCTTCTTTGTCCTATGACGGCTACCAAGTTTTTCGAGTTAAGACCGGTACCAAAATGGCTTTCGTTCAGCAAAAACTTGAAACCATAAAATTCGACGAATGGAACACAGTCAGAAACATGCATATCGATATTGCGATTTCGCCTGACCGGATTGACGCATTCATGAAACTCAACCTGGATTATCATGTCATGCACAAAGACTTGTCCAGGTCAATTTCCTCAGAGTCTGCTGCGAACGATGTGTGGAAGAGACATGTCAATGATCTGTCCTAGTACAACAACTATCACCCATACGAAGACCGCAAGGCTTACTTCAAAGCCTTGTATGAAGGGTTCCCCAATAATTCAAAGCTTGTATCTTCGGGGACTTCTCATGAAGGAAGAGAAATATTTGAAATATTTGGCATTCGCTTTTGGGGCGCCAATGGCCCAGGTCAACCAGCCATCTTGTGGCACGGAACGGTCCATGCAAGAGAGTGGATTGTTGCTCCTGTAGGTCGTAGAGCGCGATTTTTTGTCTGCCTCCAGCTGACCGAAACCTCTAACTAGGTTCTTGAGTATCTTTCTCTTCAGTTGATACAAGGCTATGGCGTCGACAACGCTACGACCGGATTTATGGATAAATATGACTTTTGGGTTTTTCCAATCGTAAACCCTGATGGTATATAGGCATAACAAAATCCTTACGAGGACCGACTAACCGAGGTACAGGATTTGTGTACACCCAGACCACCGAACGATTATGGAGAAAAAATCGTCAACCGCCTCCACAGGGAACCAACTCAACTTGTTTTGGAAGAGACATCAACCGAAACTGGCCATATGAGTGGGATGCCAACCCGCTTGGTGCGTCCGCAGACCCGTGTTCACAAACATATAAAGGTGTTGAACCGGCAGATACCCCGGAGATACAGGGCCTCCGCAAGCTAGTAGACCAACTGCGAAATAGTAGCGGGCTTAAGCTTTACATTGACTGGCACAGTTACAGTCAATATTTCCTTGCGCCGGTTGGCTTCAACTGTACCTACTATATTCCCACCTTAGGGCAATACATCGCGCTAGCACAGGTCACTTCAGATGCCATAAGGGAAGCAGAGGGCGTCACCTTCACCTATGGTCCCAGTTGCGCGACCTTGTATCCTTCGACAGGCGGGAGTTTTGATTACGCCTATGCTATTAGTAAAGCAGCCAGGTCTTATCTTATCGAGTGTCAGGTGCCAGAGGTGGGGGGCACCAGGGGACTACCAGCTGTAGGGCCACGACCAGGAAAACTATTATCCAAGGGTTACACAAAAGCAAAGTTTACAGGAACAAGAGAATTAGGAGAAGGTAGATTAAAAAATAGTTATAATTAACCCCTAACTACACTATTTATAGACTCCTTTACTTAGTACTATAACACCTTTAATATATTTTAATCTTTACTTATCCTTAGGTGTACTAACTATTAGAGCTATAATATTACCCCCTAACACCTAAGCTACTGCCTAGCAAGGCATAAGTGTTACCTCTAGGCAACTGACCTTAGACAGTAGCAACGCCTAGGTGTAGGCAGAGAACAGGGGCCTACTAGCGTAATAATAGCTCTAGAGTAACCTTAAAGAGATAACAAAAAAGAAGCTTAAGTACCTCCTAGAGGAGTAAGTAAAAAAAGCTAAAAAAAAAAAGATAGTTAACTAGATTCTAGCTTTAATAGATAAGGCCTTTATTAAAGAGGTATATAATACACTAGGCCTAGCTATTACTCCTTAGCTAAAGTATAAGCGCTACTATATTAACGCACTATTAAAGTAGTTACCTTTAATCTAATATAAGGGAGGTATATAGAATAACCTCTAGGACTTCTTATTTAAGCTAAAGGGATAGTTTAAAGTTATAAAAGAAGAATTTAAAGATAACTAGAGTAAGGTGTAGTACACTAGCTTTACACTAGAAGGTAACCTAGTGTATAAGTAGTAAAGGTATATTAAAGCCTACTATAATAGCTAGATAAAAAAGGTAACCTAGGAGGTAATAGAGACCTAGTTAAAGAATAATATTACTAACGCTAATATATAGGCCTTTAGTATAGTAGTAAAGCTTAATAATATAAAGTAAAAGGTTAACTAGTTATACTAGTAATTTATTAATAAGTATAAGACTATTAAGGTAAAGTACTTTAACTTATAAGCTAAGAGGTAATAGGTAGTCTATATACTTAACTAGTTACTACTTAATCTAAAGAGCTATATATTAGCCTAGGGGATACTAGAGATATAATAAGCCTTTAATAATACTATATAATAGGCTAAGACGCTAGCTAAAGCCTACGCTAAGGATAGACTAGTAGACTAGTAGAGGTAAAATTAGGAGCAAAGGGACTAGTAGGTCTTAGCTATACTACTAAGTCCTAATATAAGGGTCCCTATAATAGAGCCTTAGTCTATATACTTTATGTCTACGCCTATAATAACCTAAGGTATATTAACGCTAACGCTAAAGGCCCTAAGGGTAAAGGAGGAGAGAGGTAACTACTTACCTTTAACTAGGCTATAGTACTCTTTAACTTACTTTAACTATAGTAAGCTAGGGCATCTATTAGCTAGCTACACTAAAGAAAAGTACTATAGGTGTAGTTAGCCTAGACACTTAAGTAAATAGTATATAATAAAGGTAATAGGGGTTAACACTATCTAATTACCCTAGGAGAAGAGGCTATACTACTAATTTAAGGTAGACTTTTATACTAAGATAAGTAGTATATAAAGGAAGAGGAAAGCATTAATTAACCTAGGGGTAAATAAAAACCTTATACACTAGAGGATATTATATATAAGGAGGCTACTAGTAGTCTATAAGGAGAGACTACTACTATAAAGTATATAGGGAAGTAAGGCCTTAGACTATAGTTTAGAGAAAATAGTGTTAAAGGTAAAGGATAATATTAAAATATTAAGGATATAAAGCTATACCCTATAAGTAAGTAATATAGGGGGATATAACGCTATCCTAGGGATCCCCTAGAGGTAAGCAGTAAGGCTTAACCTTAAGTAAGAAATAATTAGCTAGACTTATCTACTAGGCAAAGACTATATTTAACTTATATAAGGCTAAAGGGTAGTTAAGAGGGCCCTAAAGAATACTAAGGTAGTCCTTATAGACCTCTCTATAATCTAACACCTAGGGTATAGGACACTAGAGAGGGCACTAAAGATACCTACTTATATACTAAAGAAGGGCAAAGGGGCTAGTAAGGCTAGTAATATAAAGGCTATAATACTAGGAGAATATAGAGAATAGGCCTATATATTTAACATAGACCTAGCAGTAAGGCTAGTAGAGAATAACGTATAGACGTATATAATAGAATTAGAACTAGGTATAGTACTACTGTTTAGCCTTATCTACCTACTAGTAGAGAAAGAGCTAGAGGAGCTAAGGAAGTATATTAATAAATCCTTAGCTAAGGGCTAAATATAGCCTTTAAAGTTACTAGTAAGGGCACTAATCCTATTTATACCTAAGAAAGGGGGTAAGCTTTACTTTTATATTAACTACTATAGGCTTAATAAGATTACTATTAAGAACTAAGTACTACTACCCTTAATAAGGGAAATCCTAGACTATTTAGTAAAAGTAATATAATTTATAAAGCTAGACCTTAAGGATATATACTACTAGGTAAAGATCTATAGTAAGGATAAATAGAAGACAGCCTTCTACACCTACTATAGACACTATAAGTATTAGGTTATACCTTTTAGGCTAGTTAATACACTTATAATATTCTAATCTTATATTAATAATACCTTAGTAAGTCTAGTAGATATTATCTATATTATCTATTTAGATAATATCTTAATCTTTATAAAGGACAAGGAGAGCTATATAAAGGCAGTAAAGACAGTGCTAAGCTAGTTAGACGCTATAGGGCTATATACTAACCCTAAGAAGTACTCCTTTTACACTAAGTCTATTAGCTTCCTAGGTTTTATAGTATTTAATAAAGGTATTTTAATAGAACAAAAAAAAGTAAAGGTAATTACCTAGTAGCTACTGCCTACTAGTATATAAGAGATATAGACCTTCCTAGGGTTTATAAATTTTTATAGGTAGTTTATTAAGAACTATTCTAAGGTATATTCTTTTTTTACTAACTAACTATTTACTAAGGTAGTAAAGGAGTAAGTAATTACAAGGGAAGCTAAAAAAGCCTTCTATAAGATCTATACTATATTTACCTATACCTTTATTTTATAGTATTTTAACCCTATATTACCTATTTAAGTTAAGATAAATATATTTAACTTTATAATAAGGGTAGTACTAAGCTAGCTTTATAAAAAAGCCTAGTACCTTATAGCTTATATATTATAGAAACTCTAGGAAGTAAAGCTACACTATAGAGTACTAGAGGCTAAGTTACTTATAATTTAAGAAGTAGCTATATATTAAAGGCACTATCTCCTGTACACTTAGTACTATATTATATTCTTAATAGACTACCTAGGGTACTACTACTTAGTAGCTAAGCTATAACTTAATAGCTACTAAGCTAGGTTACTATAAGACCTTTTATTATTTAATTTTAAGATTAAATATTACCTAGGTAAAAATAATATAGTAGATAGGCTTTTATAAAGGCTAAACTACTAGCCTAGTAAAAAGGAAGAAAAAGAAGTATAAGGTATATTCTTAGAGAACTTCCTTAGTAGGTTTAAAAGGAGGGTAGTAGTAATTAGGTGTAGTAGACTACTAGGTTAAGATACAGTAGCCTTAGAGGAACTTATTACTACCCTAGAAGAGGAAGTTACTATAGTATAACTAAAGGATAAGTAGATTTAGTCTAGAGAGTAGTAATAACTAAAGAGTTACTAGGCTAAAGGGAAGAATAGGTTACTTTAATACTAGGGTAGGCTTATAGTACTAGAGGGATATATAATAAAGATAAGGCTACTTATAGTGTTTTATAATAAACTATTAGGGGGGCACCTAGGGGTAACCTAAATAATAAAATATATAGAATAGACGTTTTTCTAGAAATTAATAAAAAAGAATATTAAGAAGTATATTAATATATATACTACTTGCTAATATATAAAGCTAAGGCACTATTTACCTTATAGGAAACTAGCTTTCCTTTTATTACCTAACTAACTATAGGAGTAGGTTACTATAGACTTTATTACTAAGCTACTAAAGTTAAAGGAATTTAATAGTAAAGTATATAATAGTATCCTAGTTATAGTTAATAAGCTTATAAAGTACACTATCTACTTGCCTACTAAGGAAACCTTAATAGTAGATTAGCTAGTAACCTTTCTAGTAAATAAAGTGTTCTTTTATTTTAGACTCTTAACCTTAATAGTGTTAAATTATAGGTCCTTATTTATAAGTTACTTTTAGGCAATAGTATATTACTAGCTAGCTATTAAATAGAAGCTTAGTATAGCCTATTACCCTAAACTAATAAATAAATAGAGAAGTAAAACTAGAATATTAAATACTACCTCTAAGCCTTTTATAATATTAAGTAAGATAACTAGGTAAAATAGCTACCTATAGCTAAATTTATTTATAATAGCTTATAGTATAATATAACTAAGGTTACACTAGCAGAGGCACTAATAGGCTATATACTATAGAGTATATATAATATACACCTAGTAGAAGTAAAACTAACAGAGGTCCCTAAGGCCTACAAGAGAGTAAAGTAACTATAGAGCTAGAGAACTATAATTAGTAAAACGTTAAAGGTAGTTAATTAGGCCTATAAGAAGTAGTATAACGCTAAGAGGTCTAACGTAGACTTTAAGGTTAAAGAAAAGGTCTTTCTGTTAGCTAAGTTTATTAAGTAAAAGAGACTATCTAAGAAGCTATTAAATAAGTACCTTAGCCCCTTTATAGTAAAGTAGGTAGTTAATAAAGGCAAAGCCTATAAGATAGATATAGGTACTAGATATAAGATCTATAATATCTTCTCCTTATTATAGCTAGAGAAGTTCTAAGGATTACTAGTAAAGCCTTAACTAATACTAATTAAGGAGAAAAGGAAAATATATATAAAGTAGATTAAATTATAGCCTATAAGAGGCTATAGTAAAATTAGTAGTACTTTATTAAGTAAAAGGGGTATAGTAAAAAGAAAACTCTTAGGAACCCTAGAGGAATATTATAGAAGGATTATAATATAACTATAAGCAGGGGTTACTAAGAGAAACAAGAGTATAGCTAAGTAAAGTAAAGATTAGCCTAAAGACAACTAGATTAAAGAT